ACAATTAAGACATGTATATGCATTTTGTTCTCTAGCCACCGGAGAGCTGCAGTTACTGCCTCCACCTCCATTCTCATGCTAGATGTTGTGGTGTCATATGCTAGGCTGTCTTGCACTAAAGATTTTATATTGGCTTTCGCTACGAACCCCCAGGCACTTCTCTTTCCTCTCACCACTGAACCATCTGTATAGATAATCACATTACCTGGGCGTGAATTGCGTGAATCAACTGTTGGACTTCATCCTCCGTAGCATCCGCTGGCCACTTTCTGCACTCCCGACCCAAAGTGATCATAACCTAACCCTACACAGGTCAGACTTGTCCTCTGATACTCTGACCCACTCCTCTCCTCGCACAATGTTCTCCAGCAAGCAAGCATGTGTCTTCTGCTTGAGCCCATCCATGATTGTCCCCTTTCTGAACACGTTATTGAACTGAATCTGTTGGTGATAGTAGATGATAGGTGTTGTCAAGCAGTTGCATCAAATAAGGACTCTTTTTTTCTTTGCCTTCCGCTGTATTGGGCATAAAATGCAAGACCTATATTTTATAAAGCAATCAGCACTTGGTGGGTGGACATTATCACGCCAGGCGGCATCAAGTAACATTATTGCTACAAACAATAACGCCTAGTTCAAGCACCCAAAGAGCCAGAATTCTGCAATGATTAACTTCATTTCTTACATAACTACCAGAGGAAGAACAAATTAACCAAAATATTAAAAGCTTTCAAAGTTTGGGTTAAATAAAATCTAGTGACATAACAGACGAAACTATTCGTACTTTGTGGTACAGAAATTTGCGTCAAGCAATAAAACTTTCTAAAAGACGTGATGCCTCCCCGTCAAGACAAATTTTGTTGTGTTAACCGAGTGTTCTTCTTAAGCAAGTTCATCTAAATGAGCGTTTACTGTGAACCATATCAGCTTGCATGATCACTATGGTTTGTATTTAAACAAAACGGTTGAGAACAAGTGAGAGTGACAAGACATGACACATGAAGTATCAGCCTTAAGGCTGATTCATACCACGCTTATGGCAACTTATAATTACAGTTGCCAGATAATTTGGGCTGCCATTGCCCCTGGTTGGGAACCTGTTTCTACAGTGACCACTGTGGCTTCCCACGCTTCTGCATCCCCCACCCCCACGCCTGTACAATAACTTTCTTTCTCTGTCCACGCTTGCACGGTAACTCTTTCTTTCCCTTTCCTCACGTGTACAGTAATAATTTCTTTCTCTTTCCCCACCCGTAAACTATTTCTTCCTCTTTCCTCAAGTGTACAGAAACTGTTTCTTCCTCTTTCCACGCATGTACAATAACTATTTCTTTATCTTTGCAGACATATACAATATCTGTTTCTTCCCCTGTCCATGTGTGTAGATTCCTGTACAATAACTATCCTCCTCTTCCCACACATGTTTAATTACTGTCTTCTTCATGTGCTCGTTATTCTTTCTCTCCCCCCCCCCCCCGCACATGTACAATAATGACTTTATTTCTCCGTGCATTTAGTATCTCAGCCGCTTTTCAAACATACACAGTAAGAGCCTTTTTTTTCCACACACGCATTTTAATTGTATCTTCCTAGGCTCCACACAATGGCAGCACTGTCGACTGCTGACACTGTCGCTAGGATTATCAGTGACAGATTATAATCTGTCACAATCGGAACATTTTAAGCCTTGTCACATACATCGGGGCATGCATTATTCCATAGGAAACTTAGATTCATAATAAACCATAGATGAACAAGTCAAGCGCACAGAAAGCAAAAATAACTTCAAGGTGGAAGCTGGCTATTTCCAGGGAAGAAGAATTGGCGCCGTGTGGAAAAACTTGTGGGTTCGAGATGGAGTAATGGTTTCCAGTATAAGACAGTTAATGACTCTTCGCTTTTTCTGACGTGATGAACTTTGTTCTTTCACTAATCTAGGAGAAGGTTTGGGTTTTAACCCTCATTGGGAAACTAGATGAAACGTCAAATGAGATAAAGGCGAAATCCGCTTCCGTTAGTCAGCTATAAAGATGGAGTTTATGATGCGGCACTCTGAACTGCCCATTTCATGTGAAATGTTTGTCGTTTGTGCTTCTGGTGATATAAGTGTTGTGAACTGACGGATGGTTAGTTACGACTGTTACTTCAATCGACAACGAACTGCAATTCTATTGACATACTTTTGGTGTTGGTACCTTTGGCGGCTGCCTTATGCATTTATTGCGTGTGCAAGCTGTTGAATTTTTCAAGGGCTGGTGTCTATTTGACTTTTTATGTGAAACAGTTATAAGTATCTTGTGTGGTTTTCACTGGCACAAGAAAGGAGTAATTATAGGGTTGGAAAGTGTGTCGTGTATTTGATACCACGAAATATAATTGATAAAAAAAGACTTAGATTTTCTTAATCGTCGATTGGACCTCATTTTCCCTTAGGGAAGTCTCTAGAATCTGAAATTCGCTCTCGTGTTGGCGTGTCAGAAAGATACTCCTTATCCCTGTCAACTTTCCTGCCTTGTGAACTTGCATGTTCAATGTGTTCTTAATACTATGTGTCCACTTGTCTTGCTAGTCGACCCCTGCCTCTTCTTTCATGCACTTTACCCTCCATTACTGTTCTCACAGTCCATTTTGGGTTTAATAAAGCTAAAGTATTTCAGTTTGAAAAACCGACATGAGCCCGCCCATACAACTGTCTCTATATTTCTTTCTTTTTTTTTCTTTCTCGCTCGCTCCCCCTCCCCCCCCCCCCCTTTTTTTTTCCAACCTCTGTGTTGAGCTGAGTTGATTCAAGAACCGACATCACAGCACTCGGGGCATTCCCATACTCTCTCTCTCTCTCTCTCTCTCTCTCTCTCTCTCTCTCTCTCTCTCACTCTCTCTCTCTCTCTCTCTCTCTCTCACTCTCTCTTCTCTCTCTCTCTCTCTCTCTCTCTCTCTCTCTCTCTCTCTCTCTCTCTCTCTCTCTCTCTCTCTCTCAAGTTCAGATTGGTGAAGATCGTCAGTATTTTACTCGATTCAGTCAATGATACTCTAACAATCTTCCTTAGCGTCTAACTTGAAAAGTCCTGATCCATCCGGCCACCACGACATGTGATTGAGGTTTTTTTCTTTTTCTGATTCATGTACAATTGTGTGTCATTTTTCATCTGCTTTTTTTGGGGGGGGGGGGGAAGGGGAGGGGTGGGGGTATTATCTTCAAATCTTTCTTATCGAGCTTGTTAATTATATCCGATACCTGTGGAATTAAAGCTTTCAACTGCATCCCTGGGGGAGGGGGGAGGTTGCTTTTTACCTGTTTTATGTACATGTTTGTTTTATTTACCTCCCGCCCCGCCCCCCCCCCTCCCCCAACCCACAAAAATTGCTACCGCAAGACTGACTGCCATCCGTGGTGCAAAAACAATAGGAGAACATTCCAAACATCGCATGCAGCCGTAGAACATAGTTACATTACGGTTAAGCCCTCCCCACCCCCTTCCATCCAATAATATTTAAATAACAGATCCCCATGCACACCCCCCCCCCCCCCTTTTCCTGAGCTGCTTTTTTGTTTTCTAAACACACGTACAGACGTCTTCTTTTTGAGCATTTGTTCACGCATTTCATATGATTTCAAATACATGTTTATTTCTCATTCAGCACACAGTGATAAGAATTATTATCAAGAATATCATCATCATAACTGCACAATTAGGTGCGGCTTAAGACTCCATAAGTCCCTTCCCAACCCCCTCCTCCCCCCCCCCCCCTTCCACCCCACTCCTCCGTAGAAAATTAGGGCCCCTGACACCCAACGTTTTTTTTTTTTTGGGAAGCGGCAGGCCTGATGGGTACTGTTGTTAGTTGTACATGCAGACAGTGCATAAAGACAGCAGTATGCATAGACAGGGACAAAAGACATAAATCTCTATAGCGGCTTGTGGTCAGAGCAACGCTATGTATACTTCGTGTCTGTCTGATGTTGTATAAACAGTCAAGATACTGTCTACGCTACATCGAGACTCTGGTGCTGAAACTATATTGGATAGACCAGACAACACTGAATGGCTCATGTGGCCAACATCACGCCAGCTGCCTTATTTAACATTTCCTGTTACTACTGAAGGCTGAGTCGACCAGCTTGGGTCAATCTTGAAATCTGGATGCAGAATCGAACCGAATACCTTCAGTTCGGCAGACAAACGTCTGGTCAGTGCGCTACCGCAGTGCACTAAATGTTAAATGTGTTCATATTATGTTTTCTCACTGCTTTATATGCATGTTGAGTTGAGTTGAGTTTCAGGAACGAACATCACAGCACTCGAGACATTCCCACAAGCGCTCTGTGCCCATCCTCAGCAACCAGCCAAGAGTTCCAACTGTCATAGTACCAATAACAGCCTGACTGTAAGTGCGTCTTGCCTTTTATCTTCGTGTAGTGTCGGCCAGATTTCCTAGTCACTCTAGTCACATGCGCGAATGAATGTGCGTGACTGTATGTGTGTGTGCGTGTGTGTTAAAAGTTTCAGTACACTGTTAATTTTCTGCTTTTTGATGATAGGAATAAGAGCCTCCTGCTGTCAAGGTTAAATAGCCTTGTCAGAAGATTGACTACAGCAATTTGATCATAAGTAATGAGAGGGCACTGCGAAAACAATGAATTCAAAAGGAAAAAACGAGACATGTGACTAGGTGTTATTTTGAAATTCGAAAACTATGCAGTTGTTTTCATTTTTCATATAGTATGTTTTCAGAATACTTAATCAGTTATGTTATTAGTAACTGCCTTTTTTCTGATGAATGTTGTGTCACCACAATTCCTAGTGTGTTATTGTCATTGTGTTTTTGTAAAGCTTGTATGGTCAACTGCCTGATTGTCCTTGCACTTTGTGCGGTACACCCGCTTTACCTGCCCGAAGCTTGCATCAAGACCATGAGTATCTAAAACCTAAAATTTTAGCCAGTCGTTCATTGTATGGTTTATAAAACTGGCGCAATTTCTCCAAAATACTGGCTTCTACGTGTATATGGTGTCTTCCTTTTGATTTGCCCAGACATTTTGTTTTGCCAGTCGATCTTCTTCGTGTACAGTAAAAGCCACGACTGCTGTTGAAATAAAAATCTCCGGGAGCAAAAAACGGCCTTAGATTTAAAAACTTTTCGACTTGTGTCATTTCTTCTAAGGGGTTAACTCGCAGATTGTCACTCTCGATGATGTGTATCTGATGTTGGGGGAAGACATTCAGCCAGTGAGACAGATGTTCTGAGTATGCACCCGCCATTACTGAAGACAGTTTATTGTTGATTACATGTGTGTCCGGGTTGATGACCCACTCTTCCATCGGGGGTAAGCCTGCAGTTTTGTCTGCCAGTTGCATGTACTGAGACACAAGTCGCTCCACGGGATCCCTGAGTAAGAGAATTAACTTGGTGTTCCTGTTGGCAGCATATATGAGGTCAGCGCAATAATGGCATTCAAAATAGTCCGGACTTTTTTCAACAGTGATTTGGTGTGGCTCGGAAAGAGGCATTTGCTGAATATACCAAGAAACTCCTCGTTCATAAAGGGTTTTGTTACAAAAGAAGTTTACTTCAGAATTCCGGGCGACCACATCTGGATGTAGGGTCAGGTATTCCAAGACCGCTCTGGTGCCACACTTTGACACGCCAAAGATGATACAAGAGGGAAAGCATCTAGATTTCTGTCTCTGAAAGAAGTCATGGCTGAGATTGTCATGTCTCATTTCTAGTGATGAGTTTTCTATCTTACACGGTGTTCTGATATTCTGGCCGATGTTCCGAAGCGAATACCACGAATAGCCTAGAAATGAGTTTGCAACCAATGTTGCCCTAACAGCTGTTAGAAATTCGAAGCAACAAGTCAAAGTTAAAATGATAATACACAGTGCCAATAAAGCCAACTTTGCATAACATTTCAGCGCTTTAGCGCCAATGTTTCCCGGAAAACACATCATTTTCAAGGAATCGATACCTCCTACCAGTAGATTCACTATATGGTGCGATTATTACTAGTTGCTCAAATACTCGATTTTTCCCCCCGTGGAAACGCTTTAATTTAAATACGAGTCAAAGAAACAGATGTCGTGTTTGGTGCATCCATCCTGCCTTCACGACCTCCTAGTTTCATGTTTTGTTGTATCTCCTTTGTTGTATCTGTAAGAAAAAAAAAGTAACATTCATTCATGAATGACCATTGTCCTAAGTTGTCAGCAGCAACTGAATTAAACTTAAATTTTACTGTCCTAAAACTAACGTTAGCATTCTATGTGTTTCATAAAAAGCGAGAAACTGAAAAGATTTTATTACAAACATCAGAAAAGACAGTCATATTTTTTTTTTTTTTTTTGGTCCCGTTTTATGGAATGAATTAGGAAAAGTGCGATAGAGGAAAGCAACTGGAGAAGATTCCTGATGGCAGTTTGACTCGGAGAGTTTTCACACAAGAACTGATACATGCTGTTGAAGATCGCAGGTTATTGAGAGTCATGATCTCCAACGCCATTCGGCAAGGCAGTTGATGCTGATGACGATGATGAGGATGAGGATGATGTTGATGAGGGTGGCGGTGATGATGATGATGATAACGGTGATGATAATGAAATAATGAGGGGAAAAATGATGATGATGATAATGATGATAACGGTTGTGTCGATGTGTGCAGGAATGTTGCTGGGTTGTAGTCAGTTTCCCATTTACTTAGAGTAATGGCGTTGGGGTTAATACGCCAGTTTGTTGAGGCAACGCCTTCTCTAATAATGCCTACCGACTAAATCACGGTACATTTTGGCGGAGTCTCCTCGAAAATTGGTTACTGGAAGCGTTTCCATGTTGCATTGTGTGACATTTTAATATGCTAACAAAGTCCTGTGTTCTGAATGAATTCGTATTACAAATCGAAAAGCGGATATTGTGAAGTGGATATACAAGATTTTCAAACTTTGCTGTTAGATTACAGCAATTTTAATTTTAATTCACGGGAGACAGTCGTGTAGTGATGTGTGTGTCACTGTTTCTAGTCAGTAGTTTGGATTTTGGGGAACTGGCTGTTTGTTCTTTTTCTACTTTCAATGTAGAAATATTACAAACATGTAATTTAGAAGCCATATCTGGAGAATATCGACAGTTGTCAGGTGCAAACTATCTTAAGTTGGAAGAAAACTATTGCTTTCATATTGACTGTGCATAAATGGTGAAACCACACTGTGGATATATTGTGTCAAGATATTTCGGAGCTCTGGGTAAATGCATAAAAACAATATTTAATTGACTAACTAACCTCTCACAGCAAGTCACTCTTTGCCTCTTTACTTCTTCTTCTGCGTTCGACATCAGTCATGCTAAACATTGAGTCCCGTCTGGGTCTCAAATAGGATTGTGCGTTTAAGGTCGCCACCGGTCCCCCATAGCTTCTCTTGCAATGTAGCTCCTTTAGGCCAGATCCACAGTCTTTGGTGGGAGAGGTTAGGGTAGTACTGCAGTATGTGTTCAGGGGTCTGTCTTTCGGCTCTACAATCACAGGCAGCAAATTCTTTTATGCCTATCCTGTACAAGTGTGCTCGAAAACCAGTGTCCAGTCCGAAGTCTAAAAATTTATGTTTGTTCTTTCCTGTTGAGTTTGTTTATGCTGTCACTCTCTGTTCTGTAATCTCCATTCTGCCTTCACCCCCGCTTGAAAGACTGTTTTGGTTTCCTTGTAGCTGTGTGGTGGATGAGGTTGTGGAATATTACTCCCAGCTTTTGCCAACTCATCTGCTCTCTCATTTCCTTGAATACCACAGTAGGCTGGTATCCACTGCAAGACCAGTTCTGCTTCCTTGGAGAGTAAGCCAATGCTGGTCCTTAGATCTGCTGGATAGTGCTTGGAAAACAGACAATGAGTCACTAAGTATAACAATTTGGTGCCCTCTGTGTTCTTTAGTAATGAGATGTTGGACTGCAGAGAGGAGGGCAGTTGCCTCAGCTCTGAAGTTAGTGCAGATGTCACCTGCTGGTAGAGAGAGAGTTTCTGCTCTACTGCTAGGGGGTTTAATGTAAATTCCACAACCCACCTTTCTGACTGCATCTGTAGCAGAGCCGTCGGTGAAACCCTGAGTCCAAGTTGTGTTTGGATACTTCTCATCAATCATAGCAAGAGCCAGGGTTCTCTGCTGTGTCTCCGTCTGGGCATCTTTTGAAGTGATTCCTGGTACCTTTAGGACTACATTTGCTTTCTCTGGCTTGCTTGTCCATGGTTCTGGCCTAAGTTTTTCGTACAGTGGAGCATCTCTTTCAAGCAGATCTTGGTGCTGTCTGTACAGTTCTCTAGCAAGGTGGTTGGGGCTATGACGCTTCAGTCTGTTTTTTGTTCTCTCTTGAAATTTAAAATGCAGTGGGTTACTTTGAAGTCCTTTTAATTTCTCATACACTAAAAGAGTTTTGTATTGTCTTCTGAGTTCGAGTGGTTCAGTATCTGCTATCCTGTCTATCTCTCTGATGGGGGTGGTTTTCATGGCTCCGAGAACAATCCTTAATCCCATATTCTGAACCTTGTCCAGTTTTCCCATTGTTGTCTTGGCTGCTGCAGCCCATGCAGTGGAGGCATATTCCATGACTGGCCTGACTGCTCCAGTTTTTACTTGTTTTAGGATTCTAGAGTTAGCGCCCCATGTGGTACCCGCTAATTGTTTCATCACTGCTAGCTTCTTGAATGCTTTTCCCTGTACTGCTTCTACATGTGACTTCCAAGTTAGTCGCGAATCAAGTGTAACGCCCAGAAAGGTATGAGTGTCCGTCTGTGGAATGAGCTGGTTTTTTATCCAAATTTCGATTTTTTCATTTTTGGGGAAGAGAGAGAAAAGTGATGCCGTGCTTTTTGAATTATTTAGCTTTAGACCCCACTTTTCGGTCCAGGCTTCTACATTTTCCATAGTTTTCTGTAACAGATTGCCTCTTTACTAATTGTTGACTAACAGTATAATTATATGTTATAGAAGTACACTAATAATATTATTATTTTTGTGAATTGTCTTCTGCTTCGCTAACACCGTCTGTAAACTTTGGCAGAAACTTCTGGTTGTTCATCTACTTCTGGATTTTAGTCTTTTCCAGACACTGTTTTGAACAACTAGATCCGGAATCTATATAGAGAATTTTTGTGTTTGATATGTGTACGTGGCACAGCATTTGCAGTTATATGGTCTTTTTTAATTTGCTTTAATTACCTTTAAAATAATATACCCTTCATGATACTTATACGCGTTGTTGCATGCAGTATTCAGAAATATGTGTGATGTATTTTCAAACAGTTACCAAAAAAATTCACAATGATAAGGAATTGATTTCATCCAACAAGATGAAACTGGACAAATTTGTTTGTAGTGTTTGTACCTTGAGGATACATATTTAGTAGTGCTATAAGTACTGTTAAGAACACAGCTCTGGGTTAAAAGTTATTGCACATATCAATTTCATATTGACTGTGCTTGTTTACTGATTATTAAATACCAGTATAATTGTATGTTGTAGTAGTCTACTAATAGTAATAATAACCATCAATCATTTATATTTATGTTATGAATGACATATGTATGTTTCACAGCAGTATTTTTATGCGCTATATTTGATAAAGTACAAATATCACCCTCCCTCCCCCCCCCCCCCGCCCCCGCCCATGCCGGCTCCTCTGATGCAACAATACCCTCTCAGAATCAAAGAGCACTGATATTTCTTTACTTTTGCTGGAATAACTTTCAGTTTCTATCCATACGTTATTGATGTTTATGTTCATTATGACTGTAGCAAAAGCATTTTTATTTGTCTGTAAGAGCCTTTATTGTTATATTCAAATAACACACTTATTTACCTTAAAAATTACACATAGTTCTATAAAATATGTCGAAAATTAATGAAACTGCAGTTTAATTTGTGTATACATCTCGATAAAAACTGTGAACATAGAGGGACTCCATTCTTGCACAAGAACGGGAATCCCCGTTGACCTGTTTGGCCTATAAATAGAGTAGGCCGCGGTTGAGGCAGCTATTCGGATGCAGTCTCCAGAAGTGGCCAGATGTTCTCCCACAAGTGCAGATCTAGCTCCCACCCACACCCCCCCCCCCCTTTTCCCGGTCCTCATCAAAATGCATACTAAATAATTTCCACAACTATCTAGTTGTTTGCGAATTTTTTAGCTGTTTAAAAATTGTCTAGTTGCGTGGAAATCTTGTAGCTGCAGGGACAATTTTCTTAATATGCCACCAGGGTAAAACATGTGTCATTATTATTGAGATTGTTAATATTTTATAACTTGTTAGGTCTTCGTTAAATCAATGCGTTTCTCTGGCTATACAAGTCAACGATATCCAATTTATTGATGTGATTATGTAAATAATGAATAATACTTTATGATGACATCAAGTATATTCATAGCGGTTATTAAAAAATGGATCATTGACGTTTTCTATTAAAACATATAGAGAATCCGGACATGACATTACTGTTCACAGCTGTTTGAATGTTGAGCGTAGTACTAAAAAGCAGCGGTGCTCAAACTGGGTGCCGCGAGCGTGTGCCAGGGGCAATAATCAAGAAAAGTCGGCTGGAAATTGTAAAATTATTCCAGAAAGTATGCTGATACTTAAAAGTTAAAATTTAAGTTGTCTTCCCTCGTCACTGTCATTAAGAGTTTATTTTTTGTTTCACACTCAGGCGTGCTTTGTATTACATAAACTGCCAACCACAACCTGCTAAGAATTGTCAACGTATTTATCTCGAGGTGCGACTGATCCTTTACCTGCACTCATTAAGGTGCAGTCGATAAGTAAAGTTGCGGTTAAATGTTAAGTGAAATTTTAAAGTGGAAAGTTTTGTCTGTTAAGTAGTAACCGTTAGCCTGATCAAGTAATTATTTAAAGATAATGTGTTCTTTTGTTGCTATTTGTGCATGTGTGTGTGTGTGTGTGTGTGTGTGTGTGTG